TGGTTTAGAAAAATACTTGTGAAGTAGTAGAAAATTTTTAATAAGACCATGTAAAGTGGGAAATTTTGAAAACTCGTTCCATTTTATTGAAACAACATCATAATTTTTGATTTGTGTCGCATGTGCTCTGAATTTATTGCTCGTTCTACCCATAACTTTTTATCACCAGATGTCAAATGTCTTAGGTAAAACTGCTTTGTGTGTAGTAGGTGAGGAACCCGTGGAGTTGGAGTAGAACTCCTGCAAGCATGTAACGCATTGACTATTGAGACTGTTACTCTAATAACATATGTATGAACGCTTTCCTCGAAGATATTTTCCAAACGAAAAGAGAATTTGTTAGCTATAGGTGCAATAAGACAACCATTGAGACTTCTTCTGAGACTGAAGCTTGAACGATGGCAGAGCGTCATCTTTGGTCACAACGCTACCCCGTGCGTTAGTCGCCTTAAAAACTACACAGAATCACAGTATTCGTAACGTCATCTACTAGTATTTGCTAAGGTATGCCTTTACCTCATATATCCGATTTGATTTAACTACTGACATTGTTTCATCTTTGGTAGGAAACGATTGCAGGAGCGATTTTCCTTTAGGTATTCTGGCCTTCGTTTAATGCTCCTGCCGCTGAGCCACCGCTGAACCAGCCGATGCTCTTCAAAAAGCAGTGTGCCATACATTCGCTGTGTGCTTATCTTTTCTCAAGCTGTAGACAAACGTGTAAATGTGGAGGGTCAAAGAGCAGGGCTTAACCCCTCGTAATATGGTTTGAAACAAATTTGATATGGTGCACATCGCAAAACTTTGGCTGGTGGTATTGCTATTGAGACCGTCGCCGATATGGGCTAGAGCCATACATGCGATGGGTATTGGTGTAGCTGGTGGAGCTCTTTTCGTTATTGGAACAAATTTCGAGTTTTCCATTAGTAAACATTGAATCATTTGAGCTTTCTTCTTCTTTTTTGTTTTTTGTGCCCGGGCAATCTCGCCACATTATCACATACACAGCGTGCACTACTCCATATAAGCCGCTCTCTCACTTTACGATATCAATGCCGTCTGATCAGTAACTGCTAGGTGTGGCCGAATAATCAGGGATGAATTAATTTGCCACAGACCTTTGCTGATGATCTTTTATTTCCTGCGCTGCTTGGATTCAAAAATTAGTTTTGCTGATTCTTGCGAAGCGTTGAAAATATAATTTTATAATGCTTTGCAAGTTGTCGCTGATGTGTATGTTTTTGAAGACTGAGGAATTGAGATGAGAGGTACACTTTAAGTTTCTGCCATAACATCAAGAAAAAAGAAGATCTTTACAAACAGAGCAAACGAGTTGAATTAGAGAGTTTGTTTGCTACAGATCTGAAAAGATTGTTGTATCAGCTTGTAATGACAACAAAATAACCTCCCTTTCTAGTTTGAAGAACTTTTATCCTGACATGAAGTTAGATGAGCGCTGCTGGCATCAATGCCGGAGCACAAGCAGTCGACTGGACTCGGTCTACTGCAATTTGGATGTTTGGTGCCAGTAATGGAAAGTGGTAGGTCCATGAGCAGAAGTTTTCGCCAAAACGCCACTTATAGAAATTGAGTTAGCCTTCATCATTTAGGTTTCCTATCAATAATAAAAATCATCAAGTTCGGGAGAAAGAATTCTGCGCTGATTATTTGAAACTCCAGCAGACTACGTTTTTAACACTAGGGTGAGTATCAAATAGGCACAAATGTGGCCCATAGAGGCTTAAACATTGAATTTCACGTTGCTTCCCACATTGACAATATCGAAAATAAAAACACACAACTCGAACAAAACGAGTTTGAGCTGGGTTCAAACTGTGGAGAGTTTTTCGCTTGTTTATTATGTGCAAAGATTTACAATAGCCTTGAATTTTCTATTGTTTTACAACGATAAAGTTTTTTTTGGAGAAGAACTTTCGTCGATGTTGCTTAT